TTTGTCATTATTGAAAGTTATAGTCTAATTTCCCTCTCTTTACCTTTTATTATTTCAGTCTCTCCCAATCCTATATCATTAGGGTGAATCAAAGTAAAAACCCACTTACCAATTCGCCGTAACACTATATTTATTATTATATTTATATTTAAATTTATTAATTATAATTGATATTAGATCTATTTTTATTTAATATTTATATTTTAAATATAGATAAGATAATTATTTATATATTTTTAAATTTTATTTTATATAATTTTAATATATTATATATTTTATAATAGCTAAAATATATAATATCAATATAAAACTTTTTATAAAGAGTTTTTCTTAATTTTATATTATTTATTAGAATAACTTTTTTCTTAATAAATAATAAATTTTATTTTTAAATAATTTAATATAAAAAAATAATTATTTTGATTATTATATATAAAGTTCTTATATTATTTATAGAAATTTTAAATCTTTTCTAGACTATTATATATTAATAAAAGAATATTAAACTAAAAATAAATAATAAAATTATTAAAGTTTTTAGATATATTAAGTATATTTAGAAATTTAATTATTTTTGAAAATATAAAAAAAAAGATAAATAAAAATAAAAAAAATAAAAAAAGAGTAAAAAAATAATAAAAAAAAGTAAAAAGAATATATAAAAAAAGAATAAAATAAATAAAAGAAATTATATGAAAAAATAAAAAAAATATATATAATTAAAGAAGAATTATATAAGTATAAAAAGAAAATATAAATAAAAAAGAGTATAAATAAAAAAGAAAAAAAGAAAAAATATATTAAAAAATATATTATTAAAAAAAGTATATATAATTTTTAATATATTAAAAATAAAATATATATATGTATAAAAAAATATTTTATCTAATTAAAAAAACTAATTTTTTTATTTAATTAAAAAATCTGAAATGTTTTTTATTTATTTTTTATCTTTATTAAGATTTTTATTATTTATTTTATCTTTATATATTAAGATTATTATTATTTATTTTATTAAAATTCTTGCTAAAATTTTATTATTTATTTTGTTAAGATTCTTATCAAGATTTTGCTATTTATTTTATTTTTACTTGTTAAAGTTCTTGTTATTTGTTTTATTAAGATTTTTATTAAGATTTTATTATTTATTTTATCTTTACTTATTAAAATTTTTGTTAAGATTTGATTAAAAAAATATTGATATTAATATTTTTAAGTATAATTATCTAAATATAAAAAAATACTTACTTTAACATAATTCAAGTAACATTTAAATAAGAAAAACTTAAAAAATAAATATATAAAACTTATTTATATATAATTAAATTAATAAGTAAATCAGCTCAAAAAATACTTATCTTTTTTATATATTAATAGATTTTACATATCAAATATCAGTAATTTTTATATCAAGCTTTCTTACTGATATTAGAAATTAGATATAAATATATAATAATATAGTATTAAATTTGATCAATAAAATTTCAAGATCTGTATCATATGATAAAAATTAAAAAAGATCTCTATATTATTTTAATTTAATATATATTCATAATTTATAGCTTGTATAACTTAGTATCCTTGTTGAAATAATTAATCTATCCTGTAATATATATTATAAAAGACATTTGAATATAATATAATTTGCATGTATATTCTAATTATATAATATACTGATTATTAAGTATTTTGTGAAAAAAATCTCATCTTTATTTTATGTTAACTTACATCAAAATATCTATTATATAAAGACTAACAGATCTTCTTATCTTATAGGAATATTAATATCCAAATTTAAATAGCCAGCTCAATATATATATATTAGAAACTTTATACCTGTTGATTCTTTGTTCTTATATACTCAAGAAAGAAAAATTGAGAAATATTAAAAGGATGATATAATGATTATTATTACTCACCATTTTTTAATGATTTTATATTCTACTATGTTATATTAATACTACTTGCTATTTCTTTTACGAAAATTTATTTACAAAATGTCTACTGATATATCCACAAAGCTTTATAATTTTTTGATTAATACTGAAGAAAAAATACTACTGCAGAATCTGCTATTTATCAAATAATAGAAGATAAACTCTGGATTTTCAAATATAAATTAAAGATATAATAGAGCACGCTGTGTTATATATGAATAGTCAAAATACTTGAGAATATATAACTCTTCTAGAAATTCTAGCAGATGTAAGTTAATCAATATTTTAAAGTATATTCAAGAGTATAGTATCAATTTTGAATAATAAATATGCAGATAATATTACTATCTTAAAGAAATAATATATTAAATTAGGAATTCTATTAATTCGTGCTCTCTTAGGAATATTTGAGAATGATTAATCTGCAACTTATATTTATTTTTATGTTATTGTAATAGTAATGCATATAAAATTTATTTGCGTGATGGCCACACAAAAATAGGACTTTGTTTATAATCTGACGGCACATGCACTTTAAAAATAACATTTTTTTCAACAAAAAATAACCATTTCTATGTCTGCGTTAGTTTTGAAATTTCATATAGGACTGTTATTAGCTTGCGTGCGATAGGAGCAGTGAAAACTAATGAAGAGCAATCTTTAAGCTCAGGTCAGATTGAGTCAAACATAAAAAAATTGAAAGTAAATCTAGAAAAATACTACTTCACTCTTTTATCAGTTGCGTGCTAACTTAGTGAATGTATCTACTTCTGAGCTATCTTGGAGAGAGCCTTTAGCTAGTCAAGCTATCAGCGATAACTTCATTTTGATACAGCGACTTCCAAAACAATTCCCGGAAATATTTATGGTAAGTAACATATTTAAATAATCTAAATAATCTCTACGAAGTGAAGTTAGTTGATAATTGATTTTATAAATTTATCAATAGAAACCGGTAGAGGATATGATCCCCCCAACTCCCACAATAATTCGAGAAAAATGCAACAAATTTGTAACAAACTATAATATGACATATACGAGTAATTTGTCATGAAAGTACTTACATGATGAAACCTGGAAGGAGAGCGACAATATTCTTGCTGAAGTTGCTGAAAACATTTTAGATACATTGTGAGTAATGTATTATCATACGTTTGAATTTGATTTTTTGTTAGGTATATGTTCTAAATATCTTTTCAGAAATATTGTATGGGATAATCCCGCATTTGGGCCCGATTTTGTTAAGTCATTGAATGAGAGTACATATGTGACAAATGTTATTGTAAAAGATCTACCTTTTGGAAGAATGGCATTCGTAAGCTCGTGAATATATAATTACTAAATTGAAGTCCTACAAATATTAATAATATTTTTTTTAGATTGAACGTCAAAGTACCGCTAGTGCAGATAGGTGAGGCGAAGGTAAGTTAAGTAAACACCTGAATTTTATGTTTGTAGTTAAATATGAGGAAAAACCTACGAACTCATGTATACTGAGTGTTCAGCCTAGTCTGCAACACACAAAAAGAAATAAATGATAAAATAAGATTATGACGTGAACAAAATGATGGATTATATTGGGTTCGAAAGTTGGTATAGACCGGATAGAAAAGATAAGTTTGGAATTGTGGGATCCAAGTTGCTGTTCTCATCAGAGATGCGGATGATGTGCACCATTATTATCATTTACATAAAGCTTTAATTCCGGTGCAACTATCTAATGTATCAATTGTAACAAAATTTGTGGAGACATTGTTAATTTTACGACTATGTTCCTTTAAATATAAGCTTTTTACGTTTTTATAAGAAATTTCGTCTCGAATATTTAACTTTTTATTATACCATTGTATAGAACATCATAATCATTAACATGTCCCTATTGTTTCATGCTCCATTAGTTAGATCATTGAGACGAGTAGAAAAAAGTATAACTTTAGACTCCGAATAATCTTCATTTCTATCCTGTATTTTTTTTTATTTTACCGTATCAATAAGGCTGGCCTTGGTGGCTGATTTCATATAATTAATCGTTTACTTTTGCATGTGTATTTCGTGATTTAATACGACTAACCCACATATTTGATCGAGAATTTTTCTTAGCAAAAATGATCGGCGTTACGAATACATGAAGTTGTTCTCTTGGATCTCTATGATATCCCATCCGTAACTTACAATGTATATATTATAATACGAACTTTAAACACCAAATGCATGTTTAATTATACGAGAATACTCTTATAAGCATAGAATATTTAATTTTTTATCTAGATAGGTTTAGTCATTATCATATCCTTTTTTGCGCCACCTCGATCTTTGTTATGTGAAAGCTTTAACAACTTTCTAAGGTTATGACAGTTGCTTAGGCGCGAACTCCTTTTATTTCTGGATTCCTGAAATTTTTTGTCAGCTTCTCCAACCAATAACTGCAAAATGAAATGTAAATCAGTAAAAAGAAATTCCTTACAAACAGCAGTGCACGACTTACCGCCCATATTACAATTGCTCTATAAAAAGAGGTAAATTGTAGGGTTTCCTTCCAATCAGTAGGTATTTCGCATGCTTCAAGTTCGAAGATACAATACTGGGCTTTTATAAAAAGGATAAAATTAAATCATAATTTTCTTGACATATTGGGCATCAACATATACATACTAAGATAATCCATAAAATAGAACCGCAGATTAAACTCATAAACTTGAACCATGAATGTTCGAAAATCTGATGGAAGTGGCCGTTTATGCAATACTTCTTGCTTTATAACAAAGTTGATCATATCCTTTGCAGCTCTTGCATTTTGAATGAAATCACAGGTATCTTTATTTTTTTCAGTAACATACGGCCGGCTCCCTTCTGTGACAGATATTTCATATGAGTTTTGTTGATTTGACGTGTAGGATATTCCATCGGCCTGATCTGCACTTCCTTTCTGATTCATCACGCTTTTTCGATATGTGGAGGCTTTGATAGCCTTGTTGCCTCTACAAGAGTATGATGAAAGTTAAATACATTGTAGCTACATTGTAATAAGGTAAGAATGATAAGATTTATACTTACGGAACATACAGTATCTAATGTCAGAAAATCGGAGCAATGCTTTTTTTAAAACCGGATGAATATAGGTATTCATGTACTCCTCCTCGGTCATTTCTTTATTTTTAAGTGGATTGTCTGACATTAATTTATAGGAGTCAAAGCTAGAAATTGTAAAATGTTAATACATATCTATAAAAAAAAGATGCACTCCTTGAATACTTACAAAATCGGCAACGTTTCAATTATTAATCGTTTTAATTTTATGATAAATTTAGTTTGATTTGAGTCAAGTTCCATCAAACTCTCGATTTTTTCTTCCCATTGTTTTTCGCTCAATCTCTGTAATAAAATGCATGAGAAAAAAAAATTTAATATTATCTATTATCAAATCGGACAGATCATATATTTTATAATTGAATTATATGGTACGATATTTATATGATCTGCAATCAGTCAGCGAAGCACACTAGTTGGATAATATTACCTCTGAAAAGAAATTGATTAAAAATTCATAGGCTTCTTCTGGAAAGATTTTGTCGATGGGCTCAAAGACCTTTTTAATTAATGTGACATACTTCGTTTCTTCTAGATGCAGGAGAACAAATTCAGAAGATGGGCTTAAATCCATTATTCCGTTTTCCGAAAGAATATTCTTTACTTCACGTTGGTAGGTTTTAAAATCGGTTAAAATTGTGTAGAATTCCTGTAAATGAATTTCTGATTCATCTAAAAGATTTTTAACTTCGTCATCATATTCTACGCCTTCTTCCTGATTGTTAGGTAAATCAAACTATTCAAGAAATTAAGAAGTTAGTCGATTAATTTAATATCATTTAACAATTAATTAAAATTTTTTATACCGTCTCATTATCTTTACTTTCTTCTGCATCGCGATTTTGGGGCTTGTAAGATAAGTTAGAACAAGTAGTGTCAATAACATATTACACATGACAAACAATATGGATTTAAGTACAAACCAATTCGGGTACGAAATCATCCACATTATATTCATTGTGACGAACTCGTTTTTCTTCGGATGACGCATCTTCAATGTCCTCGCCTATTCGCTTTTTGCTCGATGCTTCTAAGAATTCTGTAAACTTTCGTTCTGAAAATATAGTTGATTCCAGAAGCCGACGTCTCTCAGCAAATTGCAGGTCAATATTCCGTTGATAAAATTCGTTGTAAAACTTCTCACAGCTTTGGACATCCTCAAAGGTATCACAAATATTATATAAATCTCTACAAAAACTAGATATAGCGCTAGGAACTTTTTTAGTGTAGTCTTTAAAATAAAGACAAGGGACTGTTTCCAATCATTGTATACGGTGCTCCAGAGTAATATTGATGCGTCAGCTTTCAATCGAAAGTCCAAATACTGTTTCAATTGCCAATACCTGGCTTCTACCTTTTTAAAATATTCATGAGTTTTTTCATCATCGGGAATCTTATAACTTAATAAGTTCGTGTTTCTTAACACAGCAGTCATGCTTTGAAAGTTTATTAATTTGATTAGAAGTTAGTAATGCGTTTTTTAAATCAATCAACGTTGACTAATCACTTTATTAATTTGATTAGTAATAAATCAATCGCGTCAGTACACGTGACAGATATTGTTTCATTCGTTGCACAAAAGCATGATTAAAAAATCCATTTGATTGATCGATCACAAAAAATTTTTTTTATATTGCTCAAATAAGAAAAAGTGACTTTGCTTATATGCAAACTAGGTTACATTACATATTAACCATTAATGAAAATTTACAAGCATATTGACAGTTTGTTCACCTATTTATCTTCAAATTTAATCTGATATAATCAAATTTAATAAAAAGTTTTATTATTCTATTATTTTTTAAAAATAGAACTTTTTATATTCAACTTAATTCTACTTTCACAATTTGAAATTAGAAAACTAAACATATATTTGGCCCTTTTATCTTATACTTACAGAAAATAATATAATCAACTTGATCAGTATTATATCTCAATTAAATACTCAAGTTCTATATCATTTTACTATAATTACTAATATAGTTTTCAAATTTATCAGATCTTTTTAGATTTAAAAATAATATATATTTGTAAATATAATTAGTTGTATTTAATTTTTTATTTATTATATATCAATTTTGCTAATTTTATTAAACAAATCTGATTCTAGAATTTTCTGTAATTTGATTAATTAATTTCTAACTTTTTAAATTCTTTTCTTCATTAATATTTTCTTGTTTATTATTATTTAAATTATCATTCTTATTTTTTCTGAATTTAAGCCTTTTAAAAATGAATTAATATTTTTCTATATGCTATTTTTACAGTAATTTAAATAATATTTATATTTTCTTTTTAACTTTTTATAGTATTTCAGATTTATATATTAAAATAATTATTTGATCATTTATAATTAGTATTTTATAATAATAATTATAATTATTTAATAAGAAAGAGAATCATATATTATATTTGATTAGTATACTTTTTATATTTAATATATCTAAATTAGAAAGATTATATATAATAAATAATTCTTTTTTATTTACCATTTTTTTAAAAATAAAATTATATTATTAATTAATATTATTTTTTTTATTTTTTTTATAAATTTTTTAAAATTATAATAAGAAAAATATTAGTTTAGTAGTTAAAAATTTCAGATTTTATAATAAATATAAATATTATTTTATATTTAAAAATATCTTATAAACTAAAAAATATTTGTGAAAATTCAAAAAATAAGTCTATATTTATATATTATTAACAGTATTTTTTAATAATATTATAGAATATAGTTTATTATTATGTTTTCTATTTAATAATTATTATTAAACTAAATTTTTTTTAATTATTTTTTTATTAGATATCTATTTTCTTTTAATTAAATAAATCTGATAAAAATACTAATAGAATTTTATTATAATTTTTATAATATTATTATAAAATAGAAATCTATATATAAAAAATTATTTTTATATAATTATTAAATAATTCAGATCAAAATAGTAAAGTATATATATCAAAAAAAGCTAATATAATATTATTTAATTGTAAGATTATTTTGCTAATGATTGTAAACAAGATAAAATATGATATGAATAAGTTTTAATTTTATAACTTATAATTATTTTTATTATTTAAAAGTATTCAGATCTGAAGGTAAAAGTACAGAACAGAGAGATCTTATTTATAAGAAATAAATATAAAATATAAATAAATTAATAATGAATTTCTAATTTAAATTATATATGATTAAATAGAATTAATTAACTTAATTCACATTTCTGAAGGACAACTAATCATAATTTAATAAGTAATAATAATTATAAATATAATAAATTAAATATAAATAATAATAAAAAAAGAATAAAAAAATTATAAAGAAAATAATTAATTAAAATATTAATAATCTAAATTTGTAATTGTGATATACATAGTAATTATCTGAGTAATAATATGCTAAATCTAGATATATTAAATATATAATAATCATCTATATATCCAGAGTGAAAATGATCTTCTTGAAAATATAATATAAAGCTAATCTGTTATACAGATAATACAAAATAAAGATCTAAGCTAAAAGAGATCTAAAGAAAAATAATCCAATTAAAATTATTACATACTTTCCTACTTAAAGTATAATATCCTTATTATATTCAAGAATATGATTTTTCAAAGATATTAATCTTCTTTATGACATTTTTCAGGTTGTTAAGAGATTCTCAAGTTGCATTATAGAGATAATAATCTAATCATTTAACAAGATATTAGAGTTTGTAATAATAAATTCTTTTATCAAGAATATTTTCTATCTTATATTCTTCTTTATTATCAGAGATAATAATTACTATTGATAATTAATATCTATTATATTTATTATCTGAATTATATTTTTTTAGAAGTAATATATGAAATACCAGATACAATTTCATATTTTGTAATAGTTATAGTTTATAAGTGACAGAAGATATTTTGGTGATAATTTAAAGAGACCTATGAACTTTGGTGTAAATTTCTTGATTATTCTTTATTTATCTACTGGTGATTCTATATTATGAGTGAAGAGAAAAACTTTATCTCCAAGATTGAATTCTTCAAATTTTCTATATTAATTTGCATATTTTGACTATCTTTCTTGAGCTTTCAATAGCAAATATTTGATAGTTTTTATTATGATATTCTAGTGCTCCATGAAATTTTGAGAGACTGTAATATTATTTTATTATAACAGAGTATTAATAGATATATGAGGTATCTATTCACAATCTAATTCAAAAGATATATGATTTGTTGAAGCATTTTTACTATTATTATAAGCAAATTCTGCAGCTGCTAAATTTTTATCCTATCTATTTTGCTGATAGATAGTATTGTAACTAATTAGCTTATTTGTATAGTGTAGTAGACGTGGTGCAGTATATAGCACAGCCGTAGTATGTGATGCAGTAATCACTGATCACTACTAAATCAGATGAATAAGTAATTTATATTAATTAATTTAATTTATTATTAATTCTGTTTTTAATTCATATTATTACCCATATTTAGC